GGCATATTGGCAATATACAAAATAAAATAAACATGTGACTGGATAAATAAAAATGACTATCATTGGATGCCCTTCATTTTCGTTGCAATTACATGTATATTTTTGCGTAGGAAGGATGATATGGTTTGACTCATCTGCATGTTATTGCCAAGAAGGTATTTAAAATTATGGACAATGATTGTGGTTGTTGAATATGTGTCTCCTGTTAGAAAATTGAAATAGATATCATATAGTATAATTGATTTTCCGTGGATACAAGAAAGAGAATCCTATGTCAATATAATTGTTAATAAAATGAAGAGAAACAATTTTCATTTCTTGCATTTACTGTTTTGATCTGTCATTGTGAGCCTTCATTTTCTTATTAATCTTCTAGAAAAAAATCTTTTCGTGATGAGAAGGTGCGTTTTGTTTGTTTAACCTGACTGCTAAGAAACCATGTCTATGCTTATATAGTAAGCATCAGGGGACCGGCGGCCAAGCCCTCTCCGAGGGACTTGGTAATGAGGATTAATACCTTACCAAAGGGCACTGGCGCATCGAGTTGGATTCGAACCTGGGACCTGCTCTACCACTGAGCCATCGTTCCTTATTCAAAGTACTTTTATTGTCCATAATCTGGCAGATTTAATTATAACAATTTCCACCAACCTAATTAAATGCGAGTTCCCCCTTCTTACTCGCTGCCAGCCGAAGATGGCGTGATCCTCCAATAATGATGTCGCCTGGCAAAAAGAAAATCCTGACTGGCCGTACGAATTCGTTGATAACGCCATCTTCGGCGTGCAGCAAGTGTACGGAATATAGATAACTACTACTAATACTACTACATGAGTGATACAGGGTTCCACTGACTACAAGGAGGCATTTGCTTATCCCCCCTCCCCCACCCCCACAAAACAAAATAATACAGAGACCATCAGAAACGCTTTGATAATGATAGCTTTATAACAATACCGTTTTCATAAAGTAACTGTTTTAACGGTATTGATAAACGTACATTTAAAAGGATTCTACAGCTCTTTACAACGATCTCAGTTTTCATACCTAGTTATTGGTAGTACGACCACTGTGGTAGTCGATGCAATGTGGTATTCTCTAATACGAAAAGCCCTGGGTTCGATCCTCGCTCGATGCTACTACATTCTTGAATGGAAAAAGTGTTTTTACCCACATTTGTACCTCCCGACCCAGAACAGTATTACATAACATTGATGTCTAATCATATTTAAGGTCTAAACAAAATCAAAGAAATATTTAATTGAAAGCATTGTAAAGGTATATTCATCGGAGCTATATACCCTATCCAAAACATAGATACTAGGAACTGTCTAACTGGTGATTAGGTTTTGGGAAAAGTCATAATCAATAGGGTCAATAAGGCAAGATATCGTATACGTGCTAGCGCCTTAATTCTTGAACAACCCCAGTCACTTCCAGTATTATCGCTATCGTCATAACACACTCATCCAACGCCGCCACTTTTGCACACATTCCAAGTGTATGGGTGATACGGGGGTACTCCCCCCTCCCCTCCCCCCCCCCCCCCCCCGATAGGATGGCGAAAAGGGGGAGAAAATGAGAACAGGAGGGGAGAGGAAAGAAGCGTGAAGAAGGGTCGAGGAAAGAGGATGGGAATTATGAGACCACTCCTGCACCTTCCCCTAATCGGTGGTTTGAAAATGCACATTTTCATTCACAGAGTGCCCCCACACCCAGTGATGCATGTGCCCCCTTATTGGCTAGATTCTCACTACGCCTCTGCCTAGACCAAACCCTTGCTCAACATATCATCCAAGTCCATCTTTCACAGTCATCGAAGTCACTCATCCACGACGGATAAGCAGCACCAATCTTTATTTATCAATGTAGCTTGCAAGAAGAACAAAAAAGAAGGAAACTTGAGTTTTATTCAGCACACTTTATTCAACTGAAAGGGACAAAAAAGCAAGTGGCTTTGAGAAGGACAACACAGTATTCGGCTTGTTTAAATCTTATACCAATTGTTTTCGGCATTAACTGATAAACGAAATCTGTGAGATTTGTTCTGTTGTCTGTACATACTTTCAAATACTTTAATCTCGTCAACATTTGTGTTTAAAAGCCTAGAAAAGGGCGAACAGGCATATTTTGTTGGTACATTAAACTAAATTTATTCCTGGCTTTATGAAGATTGGAAACCAACTGATGCAAAGGCACTCATTGTTTCTCATTTAAATCTATCTGTGAATACTAAGCCCAAAATGAAGCGGGAAAATGCCACATGTGTTTACGCGAAGAGATCGTTACGGAATTATTAAAAGTTTGTTGTTATCAAACATAAATGTATATAAAAAAAAGAATAAAAACACAAATAAATGATTACATAAATAGGTAACATTATTACAATATGAACATGTTAATTTTATCAAACATAAAAAAGTGGAGGTGATTAAATAAACGGAGAAATTTAAAGTTATACTAACGAATACAACAATGAGCAAGTGGAATTAGTTCCAAACAAATCTTAACGGAATTAGTCAACATTATTTGAATAAGTTTACAATGAACAAGGTAAACATACGATAATCATAATAAACAGAGTATGAAATAAAATGTGCTGGATAAAAGAAAAAAGGATATATAGTGCCGTATTGTGTAGTTAATTTGATGTTCTCCCTTACTTCAGACCTCCAAGTGTAATTTTACTGTGAAACTGTGCGCATCCAAATATGCTTAACAAACTTTCATAATAATTATCCCTATTTTCCTAAAGACAATATCTTTTGTAATTTTGCCTATTGAATCCGGATTCGCCACGTATATAAGACGAAGAAGAAAAATGGTTCAGGTCTAATTCACATCTTAACCCTTACATATTGTTTAAAAAATGGTCTTCAAACCACAAATATGATATTTCCCCGATCCTTATACAAATCGATAATCCAACACAAAGCTAACTTTTTTGTTGTAATGGCACGTAAAACTTGTTATCTTATCCCTTGTGCATAACCTTAATTTTAACACCAGAGTGGTACTCTTTAATGTTACATTTATTTTCATGCAACTATGATACCATTCTTAGCTATACCACGATATTTTTTCTTCTTGCTTTTTTTCATACAATTAAAGCTGCACAATGATGCCATCATATCTACAGTTTGGTCATTCGAGTGTGTTCATCGCCATTGTATTAAGCGACATGATGTTCCTAAGTATATACAGACTGAATATACATGATTCAGAGAGCAATGAACTGCAGTTGACCTATATTAGCAATATAGAATCGTTTAGTCATCCTCATTTTCTTTCATGAATATACTAACGGTAGTTTGGGAAAATTACACAGTTAATTTTCTGAAAGAAATCTGACAACTGTTTGACATTTCGTCGGATTACTATCAATATACTTATTTTTCATATTTCATTAAAGAGCTTTCTTTAAAATAGAATAATAGATGGAGACAACTGCATTATTTATCATGCTTCCAGCTCTTCTTCAGCCATTGCATGCATTGAAATGAATACTGCATGAAATGCGTGCCCACGGACTTATTATCATCATAACAAGTAACATAGTATACAGAAGGCGTACGCCCCCATGTATACTTTGATGGCTCAAAATTTATAATGCATTAAGTGGGTCCTTTGTATATTTTATCTACCTCTTCGTAATACATTTCACAAAGATATCTAGATTCGTAGCTGACAATGATGTCAATATTTGTATGTTAAGAACTAATGAGTATGTTACTGTGACATATCCATGTAACCGTTAGAACGAACCCCTAAACATTGATCAGATCATGAATTCTACAGAAACGAGGACAATATGGTGCACTGGTTCGGTTGCGTGTTGTATCACAAGTCATGTACAGATAATATGAATAATAAAAAAATATGAAAGTTGTCGCTTCGTACCCCTTTCTTTGATTTTATATTGACTCCTCGATTTACGAAGAGAATCTGACAATCAGTTTCCTAATTCTGCAATCAATATTAGTTTAATAGTTACATACCCATGGTATCATGTGTAACTGTGAATATAGTTACGTCTTATATTCTATAAGTATATTTTTGATAAAATAACTCTTAAGTCATATATTTTGCTCACACCACATGCGCCTAGAGCTATATACTGTAATTACATCAAGTAGAATACTCCTCCAATGTTTTCGTTAATGTAGATGCACCAGAATTATATTACAATGTTCTATATACTGTACAATATATTCATAGATTTTCTTATGAAAATTTAAAGCTTAGATAGGAAATACTTACACGAAAGTTGAAAGTTGCACACAGAGAAAAAATGGTCGACATGACCTTTTGTGTCAAGACATTAAAGCGAGATAAGAGTCATAAGACAATAGAGAAATTAATAGACACTGTCAAGATTTCAATGTGACAAAGAAAGAAGGAGACAAAGAGACAAAGAGAGAGAGAGAGAGAGAGAGAGAGAGAGAGAGAGAGAGAAATGGATGAATCCTAGAATTCGAGGAAAAAAGGAATAAAAGGGAAATGCACACACAGCATAGGTAGAAATAGCATACGAAGAGATTAATAGTATACTACAGAGACAGATATAAGAGATACAAAGAGTTAAAAGGAATTGTTAGATGACAATGAATACAGAGATTCAGTGTGATAACAAACAGATAGTAAGAGAGAAAGAGAGAGAGAGAGATAAAGAAAGAAAATAAAGAAATCAAAAAGAAAATAGATACATTTGAAAAAGTCTGAAAAACGATGTTTTGTCCGTTGTCTAATATATTCAAATAAATGAGAAATAATATCTTTTAAACTTGATCTTTATTAATCATATCCCGATTCTTACCGGCACAGTGGGCACAAGTATAGATATTTCTTTTATCTGATTTTGTTACCCTTTATTTTAAATTGTGACCAAGTTAATATGATAACATCTAAATAAACGAATGATACGCTGTATTCCAACTTTTTGTTAAGGTAATTGCCCTTATCCAAGTTATTTTACATTGTAAAACAAATTTTAATTTTAATTATTATATAATGATAGCCAACACCATTTACCCCAAATGAAACAATTATTGATTAAACGTGATTAGAAATAAAGAGATAAATATAAAGTGCCATGCTCATATTTCTTTTCAATGACTGAAAAATGATTTTCTTTCGACACCAGCATTGTTCATTTTCTGACGTGATGTTAACGATTAAAAGGCAAAAGTGATAAAGGTGTTCAAAAGCATAAGTCAACAAAAATGTAAAATTATTCTACTTGTTCAGAAAATCATAATCTAGTGAAATATATCAAAGATACAACCAAACTTAACACAACTGAAGTATAGCAATAAAGGTATCGAAAACATCGTACAAAGGTGTGAAAAAATATAGCGAACTGCGAAGGTGATGAATTTCGATGCAAATTAAAGACTGAGGCAAAGAATACGGTGGAAATCAGAGACTGCATGAATATGATCCGAATGTCAAACACTCTGTCTTCCTAGCGCAATCAATGATCAGAAAACGAAGGTCATACCAGGACAAGGTAATGATCTCCCGTCCGTTTTGATAACATTTTCTAGCAAAATTATGAGTGTTCGTTTATGATAAACTGATGAATATTAATTGTGTTGGCAGAAAAGAAAGATGGGAGTGATTTTTTTTGTGTATTTCAACGTCAAATTCTGTTTTGAGTACCTAGCGTTGTCAAAAATCGATTTGTGGGTTTTAACAAAATTATCAATTTTTTTTTGGTTGAAAGAGGTTCTTCACTGAAAGAATTTGCTCATTTAAATTTCAAACAATGTTTATAACTAAAATAATATTTCAATTAACAATGCTTTATTTCCACATAGTCCTATAACCCTTTCCATACCCACAACCGAACCGACGCTTGAAGATGGTACATGATCACATTGCAGTCTCTGATTTCCAATTCCTTTGCGGAAGGAGGAGGAGGAAGGGTGGGGGTCATAAATGACGTAAGCTCATCCCGATTAATCCTCCCCTTCTTTCGTTGCTATCTCCTTGATCTCTTTCTCCTCCTCATCTTCAAGTTCCTTCTCTTCTTCGTACTTGTTACCTAGCTTTTCCATGTCGATGCCAAGACTTCTCAAGATGTCCTCAGGAATGTCTGAAGTTGTACAAAGAAGATTAAGAAATGAATAAAAACGCTATTCTTTTAAACCATTGTATGAGTTGTCAATTTAATACAAGTTTTAGCATCAACCACTGCCAGTTATTTTGCCATAAGTAGGATTTTTAATTGTCAGCACTAAAATTACATCAAAATGTGTTGGTTTTATTTTCTTTAGTATCACTAGTAGATGGCAGCGTTTTACACGAAATATCCTTTGTGAAATGAATGTAATAATGATGAAAACACGTGCAAAGTGGGTAACTCCAACCAATCAGACACATCGACTTTTAGGTTGATTTAATGTATAGCATGAACATTTTAATTTATAAAGTTCCCAATAAAGTCCCCAATTGCTGATTATGACGTCATAGAATCGAAAGAATATGAAACAATGCATAGAGAACACAGGAATTGTTTTATAAGTAGTAGTTACCATTATCGAGTAGTAGCGACATGTCTTTCCAGTTTTTCTCCACATCCTCATCAATGACGTCATTTGATGGGCCGACTTTTACAACAGCTTCGGCTCCAGGTTTGGTAATCTTAATGGACTCTAAAATCACAGAAAGAAGAGAAGATGAGGAATTTCTAACTTTTGGATTCGTCAAGACAAAATAAGATGATGCTCCCTGCTAAGAAAAATCAGACCTACTGCCCACGAAATGTAAAGATAAATGTCTACGTAAAGCTTCAAGGAAAATGCCTTGACGGAAATGGATTTGAAAGAACCCTTGAGGGAAAAGTCATAAAATAAAATATGAATATGTTTTGCTATGACGTTTTATAATTGAAGATATACAAGTAATATCAGCAGATTCTTAGAGTTGAATAATACTTTAAGACTAGAATAAAGTGATCGCTGGGTCAGTGCACCTTGTTGGTCGTTTTCTTTTATATGATAAACCGATATTTTAGAATCTTCTAGAGCGCACCTCATACATTAAGATCCGACTATATGGTGTCGGTCAAATTACAGAAAGACAAGATACGAAAAAAAGATTTCCTGATTGCCCTGATCAAGGTACTGAATAGTCATACAAATAGAGACATTGACATTGACACAGAGAAAAGTACCATTAGCTGCGAATGAATCGTAGTGGGTAGTTACACCACAAAAGTCTCCTCGTTGTCCCAGATTTGTCACCGTGTTTTCTTTGGCGATTCCCCAAAGTTTTGATAATTTATATGACTATTAAGAAACTCATTCAGGACGTATTTTACATCTTCTGTGTTCATATCTGATCCTTTTTTTTCAACTTTTACCAAAGTCTGTTCTCGGATCTCGGGTGTGGGGTGGGCTAACGTCTCATCGGCCAGTGAGATACAGTGCCTCAGCGGTTGGAGCAGGGCTTGTTTTTAATAGGAAGCTCATGGGTTCGCAACCTCAGCAGGTGGGACGTTTATCCGCATTCACGTTTCGTCCATTGTCATGAGGGTTTCAGAAAAATCCCTAGGTGCCCTCATGAATTCGATAATCATTAGAAAAACAGCAAACAACAATAATAATAATAATAATAATTTTTATATAGCGCTTAATACAAATGTCTCTAAGCGCTTTACAAAATATACTATTACCCCGGTCATTGGATTCAGTGCTTGCCCGCACACATTATTATCAACGAATCAAACTATTCCTGAGCTTACCTGTTTTCGATGTCTTTCCTCCTTCAATGAGTTCGTCTTCTAATTCATCTGCAATCTTCTCCGCCTCCTGCTCTAACTCCGTCGCGTCCGCGTCACCATTATGGTCCGTCTCCTTGATGTCCTTGACCAATCCATCCGGTCCTTGTTCTAGGAGCTCTTCCTCGAAGTTCTCAATCTCAGGCTCGACCTCCTGGCCGTATCTCTCGATCTCGTCCTCGCCCTGCATGTACTCGCTGGTCTGTGATGAAAGGCCCAAGTCTTCTTCTCTGTATTCGCTGCCCCCCTCTGAGCTCATGCCTTCTTCGCTCTCACCCCAGTAGTTGTCAGGAAGGAGCTGCACAACCTTGCCTTCACAAGAGCAAGCAAATAAATAAACCAAAAATGTCTTACAGATACTTTCAATTATTGGCTGACTTTGTCACTTTCATGATACTTCAACGAAGAACAATACATTGAATCATATATAAGGAGAAGGGAAAAAATGTTTTACATTTGCTTATATTACATATTACAGAAAATTGTGCGACTCTCAAATGATATACAATTACATGCTTCAGATATTAGCAACAGTTTGCTTTAATTCGATCAGCGATGATGAAACTCTTCAGTTTGTACCAATTATTATGTACCTAACTCAAGGAGTCATGTTCAATCAATAGTACAACACATACAACTTATTGAGAAGCAACTCTACAGTGTTAGATTACATACTTATATACAGGCGCTTCTACGAATCAGCACCGTCCATTACCTCTATATTACAGAAATCTGACCCCCCCCCCCGAAAAAAAAAGTAAGAAAGAAAGAAAACAGCAACAACAACACCAAAAAAAGAGAAAGAAAAAAAGAAACATACATTTATTTTAACTATTGCTCAGGTGCTGGTGTAATATGACTATAAAAAAAATAGTTTAAAATCACGATCGCGTTTGTAACAGCGTCTTCTACAATGTAACTTTCTACGATATCGCTTATGATTACGGTCTCCTGCACTTTTTCAACAGATAGTTTGGATAATACTTTAGATTTATAATAATATGTTATAGAAATATTAAGTTTCGTTATTATATGTACATATGTAAAAAAAAAATGTATATTTTGTATTACACCTTACGTTTATATGTTCTTTGTTATTCTGTTATTATATTTGGAAAAAAGCTGAAAAAAATTGGGGAAAAACAAAAAAGATGGGCGAGACACACAAATCAAACTTCTAAGGACAACCGACCGGGGGAAGGTATACATATTATATCCTCATCTGGGGAGGCGAATGGCTAATAATCTAAAGAAATTCGAGTCGATTACTTATCTTGAGCGAGGCTTTAAAAGCTAATCAAAACCTTGATGGATGAAATGACATCGCCTCCCACTCTGCCATTATCCCACGCAATCATGCACTGAGCATGTCTTAATGAGGGGGTATTCAGCATCTAGGGTAGATTATGGCGCGGGACGCCCTCCCTCAGAAAAAAATAATTCCTCTGGCAGGTTGCCCTTCTCGGTAAGACCTAGGGGCTGCCCAGACTTCCTATACCCCGATCTCGGGATGATTCTGCCCCCACGTTCATAAATATCTGGGTACGCTTATGAATGACGCTTTTAAGTTGTACCAAATAGAGCTTAACAGAAATATATAGGTGGAAATGCTACTTAATTATAATGTCATCCGTGTCGTGTTGCCGCCATTTCGGCCTACGCAAGATTTATAAACGACACCTTCATGTAATCCTATGACTTTAAGAGCTTTTCATCAGAACCGTCATGAATCATACATGAATAGAAAGTAAAAATACTAATTTGTAATGTTTTTTAAAATGTCTTTTTCACAAGAAAGGAAAACTTCACATTCTCTAATAAGAACTTCATAAAACTAAACTCATTTATAAAGCGATGATAAACTATAAAGCGATGATAAAAAAGAGGAATTTCAAATTATGTTAAGAGAGAAGTGTGTCACCACCAACACCTTATTATCGTGTTCTGATTAAATTATTGTAACGCTAAGTAGTAATCATTTAATGGTCATGAAGTTTTGACAAGGTCGTTGGGTGGGCAATTATTTGATAATTTGTAGAGGCATGTTTCTAAAAAAATAAACACAACTTAATCTAGCTAAGGAAACTAAATTGCAACCATTTGCATTATTAGTCTGTCAGTATCATGTGTATCAGGTAGCCTTATGATTAGGGTTTCGGTTGTGGCTAGTTTTAGAAACGTGCCTCTTCAACTTATACAGCTACCAATAATATTTTCGACTTACTCATGATTTTAGCGCCATCTTCCGGCGAGATTTCACCTCGTGCAATCCTTTGTGCAAGTATCTCGGCTATCTCTGATAAGGCTTGAGTGCTTTCTATACAACACAAGAATAAATCACATATGAACAAATATCAAGCGAAAACATCTAGGGCATAAATGAATAAATCAATACAAAATGACAGTGAACAAAATTCCTGTGGATTTCAGCTTGTTGACCTACACGTTTCCTGACCTCGGAAAAAATTGCAAAGAATCGATTATTTCTAGCTAAAAATCCTTTTAATGGAGACTCCATCCTTCCCGCCTAAAAGTCTAAACGTACGTGTTTATTTGGCCTTCCCCAAAGAGCAAATAATACTGGACTTTCTGCGAACAAACACAAATGACACAATCGATTTGATAATTCAACGTTTTGTATCCTAAATTCCACGATTACTGACTGTGAATTTAAACAAATAAAACAAATAAAACAAATAAAATCATTTTTCAATCTCCGACAAGTGCGTTTATTAAGTTTTTCTTCTTCTTTTTAATCTTTTACTTTCACCAACCGATTTTATTCATTTCTTATTTTCATTGGAAATAGTAGTCATATGCTATTCATCGTCAGACATTTAGAATAAATCTTGAGTTCTGGTAATAATAGAAAATAATTTCTTACAGGGTGAAACAAAAACTACACCTAATGTTCAGACGACCAATTAAAGGTATCTGCCAAACAATTTTGGTAGAAATATTCTTAAACATATCTAAATAGTTGAGTTTCAAGAAAAAGAAGATAAAGATATTGATTGGATGGTTCCGAACCATACTTTACTTCATAATAAGGCGTTTCGAAGAAATTTAGGTCAGTTTTTGTGCTGCAAATATAACTTGGAATAAACCATATAGCGTAGAACACACCTTTCAATTTAGGCGTATGGGCAAAATTTTGTCCAAATATCAAATTTACATTCCACAGGCGATTTCATACTCGATTTTTATAATCTCGTCATCAAAATATATGAGATACAATTTCATAAATAACAAAAAAACACCCTGTTGAAACGTCGAAAAGCCGAACATGAAGGAGCCCGAATTTTGGTCCATGTAATTTTTTTTTATTTGGGGGCTTACCCCTCAGCTCCCCCTCCCCTCCCCGCCTCATGCGCCTTTGTCTTTTCGTGTACTTACCCTGTTCAATTGCATCTTGGTATGCATCATAGAGGTTGACTTGAGAGCTTCCATACGGCACTTCATCTTGGTTAATCATGTTGGCATAGTCATAATATTCTGCAGGTTGAGCCATCTGGTTGTAGAGTAAACCATCCTTTAAAGAATAAGAAAATAAGGAGATTATATTAATAGACAAATATTATCTTAACTTCATGTGTATTGCTAATTTGGTCTTATTAACCTAGAGTAGCCACATCATTATGATACTACCCTGACTTCTTGCGGGCCCTGCAATTATTATTACTCCAGCAGTTATCCATACAGGGCCCTTAATTTAGGGCCCTCACGGAAGGCCACTACTTGTTGCTGAATGGGCTACCCTGACAAAAGATTAGAAATAAATTAATACATAAATAAATAAATAAATAAATAAATAAATAAATAAATAAATAAATAGAGGGACAAATACGGGTCAAGTAAAGCACCTTGTACAAGGATATAAGCACCGAGTTATGAACGAACCCTGGACCTCTCGAAAGGGATTCAAGAGTCTTACCCAATGAACCACGGTGCACCCTCTTTATCAAGTCTGAAAGATGGCCAATGATCAGCCATGAATGCAATTTTGTTTAATTGATTTTCCACATAATTATCCAGAACCATATTCCTATTCTGGGTGCAGAGATGCAATTTAATTATAGGTTTGTTGCTATCGTCCTGAGACTGAAACTGAACTGAACTGAACTGGAATCATCTAATTGATAGTCTGAAACAACACCGTTTCATAAAACTTGTTATCAATAACAACTTACAAGCTACTGTTATAAGTTATTGAAATCATGGCATCTGATTGGCTGAAAGCAAATTTGTCATAGAAATTTAGCAGTTGTTATAGATAACAAGTTTTATGAAACGGGCCCAGAAACACCACCATCCTGTCTTCTACCAAGGGTTCTGATCAAGGCAATATAACTGTGTGCTGGTGCTAGGAAGATTTCTAATTTGAAGATTCAGTTTCCCAGTAATTCAAAATAAAGATGGGTTGGGGATTTTATTGGTAGTCAAATATGTCAAACATTAATAGATCACATATCCGAGTTATTTATCACTCATAATTTCGAGTCGTAAAACTTAGGGTAAAATGAATATTTCTCCCCTTTTCAATAATCACCATACTCACCAAATCTGCCGTGGGATCCTCTTCCACCTGTGGTTGATAGGTCTCGAACAGCGCCCTCGATAGTTCAACTTGTTGTAGCATGAGAAGGTTTCTGAGCTGTGATGCTACTTCATCCTTGAGAGCGTAGGCTTCAGCCTCAGTGATCTGTCAAGTAAAAAACAAAAATATTGAATTGACTAAAATTATATGAGGAAATAGTATCACAACACACCAGTGAACTGTACTGCAACTGAAGACGTAGAAGGAGAAGAAGAAGAAGAAGAAGGAGATCAAAGTAGAGGAGAAGGAAGCAGAAGAAGAAGGAGAAGAGGAGGAGGAAGAAGAAGAAGAAGAAGAAGAAGAGGAGGAGGAGGAGGAGGAGAAGAAGAAGAAGAAGAAGAAGAAGAAGAAGAAGAAGAAGAAGAAGAAGAAGAAGAAGAAGAAGAAGAAGAAGAAGAAGAAGAAGAAGAAGAAGAAGAGGATGAAGAAGAAGAGGAAAAAGAAGAAGAGAAAAAAGAAAAAGAGAAACAAGAAGAGAAAAGAAGAAGAGAAAAAAAAAGAGAAAAAAGGAAGAAGAGAAAAAAGGAAGAAGAGAAAAAAGGAAGAAGAGAAAAAAGAAGAAGAAAAATTTAAGGTGAACATGGTAATTGCCTGAATATAGGTAGCAAACGTGACGAGCAATGAATGTCAGAAACGAGTTAGTCATTTCATTCTTATGATTGATGTGACTGTTTAAAAACAGTAAATACAGATTTACGTTCTGTTTTCTAGTCTGGAGAAAAGACACTGTGCATATTTGGTCTAAGTACTCCCCAATTCCCACTCTCTCATACGGTGCAACCGCAAGCCTACTGTATATTTGGTTTATATTTAATTCCTTATATACATCCTATGCTTGACTTTTGCCTGAAGACCGAAGCCAACTGGTTTTGGCGATGGCCGAGCAGGTTCTCCTTTCTATATAGGACCTATGAAACATTGGTAAACAGGTATGGAAGGGGGTGTGCGTCAGGGTCAAAGTTGATACTTCGCTCTGTCTCATCATTTTCATGAACTGTCAGGGTATTGACAGTGAAATATGGATCATAGAGAGAGAGAGAGAGAGAGAGAGAGAGAGAGAGAGAGAAATAGAGAGAGGGAGAGAGAGAGGGAGAGAGGGAGAGAGAGAGGGGAAGAGAGAGAGAGAGAGAGAGAGAGAGAGAGGGAAAGAGAGAGAGAGAAGGGGGGGGGGGGGCTTTCAGGTGCCTCTGGGTGGATCAGCGATCCACCGAGAAGGATTAAAGGTCATGTTTCACTATCAACATGACTATCTTCATCTGACAAGAAAGTTTCCTTGATCCACCGTCAAATGGCGAATGGCATTGCCTACGGCAAGTCCAGTTTAAGTGGATTTTTTTCTCTCAAAATTTTCCCTCTCTATTTAGAAAAAAAGATCCTGCCTCATGTGTGTATAATGTGCATCTCTACAATGAACTGTAAAAAAAACCAAGCTAAACCATTGAGTTTTTTTTAAAGCTAGCTCGAAGGCCGCTATAATATTCATACGGAAATGTAGTCAAAAAGGCGTATAAATTTGTATGAATGGATGAAAAGAGCCAAAGAATTTATCAATGCATTTAAGATTGATGAAAATGTTCTTGAATACAACTTTGTAATATAAAAAGCATATCATCACATCAACAATTATATTACTCATAATGTGCCTAGTCCTTTTCATGTTATATGTCACGATTCCTTTAACCTCGTTGATGGGTATATTTTGTTCTCATTAATCATTGGTTGATATCGTAGCTTCCTTTCATTCCTTAATGTCACGAAGACATGTATTATTTACTAATTACGTGCGTAATGTGGAGTGTCATCATCAGACAATTCTGACATTTACAGAGCGAACGAGGCTTTGAAAACAACTCGCTTAAAGCTGATTGTTCCCTGAAAATATCATAATTTAAAGGTCAAACCGTTTTTTTCTTCTTATTCATTTGAAGCCATTGGCACGACTGCGAACTGAATCTACAGTGGATAAAAAATGCTGAAGCCATTGATTGTATTGTAGGAATAAGAACTGACTTGCATAACGAGCACAATACGTGCTAGAGTGATTGGGCTGCATGAAAAGGCGCTTTCTAGTAAAATACCTTTTGTATTGGATGAGACAGGATATGGAAAATCACATTTTTGTACTTGAATAATATTGTTTAATGATTCAAGCTGAAAATACAAATAGATTTGGATAACATTTGGATTTAAGAGTACCTACAATAATAAATGAAGAAAAAAAAACGTTGTTATGTTAACGTATATTTAGATGTTGCAAACCTGATCGAAAATACTGAATTTCAGCAATTAACGCATGTATTTGCTATGATCATGATTATGATCATGATGATGGTACGGAAAGCAAATGAACACATTTACGGGTTCTTGGGTTATTTGTTATGACAGAAAGTCGACATATCAAATAGAAGAAAAGAATAATAAAGAGGACGGTTGCTTCATTACGGGACCAGCTCTGGGCTAGAATACACGTCGGGTAAAGGGAGGGACAGAAAGAGAGATGAAGAGAGGAGTATAAAAGAGGGAAAGGAAGATAAATTAGTAAATGTCGAACCCGGTTTATACGTTTCTATTTAAAGCAATCAATTCACATTTATGTATTCAATGTCGCCCACCCCGCCCTCCCCCGCCCATGCAGCCCCCGGGTGACAAAATGGTGACCTCCTAAGGGCAAATAATCATCATGGTCATAATACGCAATCTATTATGCGGAGGACAACGCTGATGGACAGCCTATATGCCTACTCTATATCGGTTGAGATTCACCCTTCGGCAGTACATGACATAAACATCGGGGAACCTCGACTTAACTTGGGGACTAGTCGGTGACTACCCTGAGACTACTTGCAGATTACCCGGAGACTACTTGTAGACTACCCGGACACTACTCGGAGACTACCTGGAGGCCAGCTGGAGACTACTCAGAGACTACTCGGAGACTACCCAGAGAGTACCCGGAGACTACTTAGAGACTACCTGGAGACTACCCGGAGACTACTCAGAGACTACCCGGAGATTACCCGGAGCCTACCCGGAGACTACTCAAAGACTACGCAGAGACTACCCGGATGCTATACCCTATAAGGATGGGGTAATGTGAAAGGGTTTATAATGCAACTCACATATCCGTCATGTAAGAGTAACCTTAGAGCCCGAAGGAAGCCAGCAGCGTCATCTGTTTCCACCACAAACTTGGCCACCTCCACGGGATCTCGTAGCTCTAGCATCAATTCACGTGCAGCAGCAGGTGTTAGCATGTACTCTGATCCTTCTTCTTCTTCTTCCATCTGTTGTTCGACAGCCTCCTCGAGCTGCTCCTCATCTTCATCTTCATATCCAAGCAAATCGTCAAACTCGTCTTCTTCTTCTTCTTCTTCGTTTTTGCTGTCTGTCTCTGTAAAAGTAAAACAGATTCAAGAATGTGCATAAGAACAATAAGGCCTACATGAGCGCTATAGATAATTTTTTAGTCTTCTTTCGCCTTTTGCGGCAACCGAATGGATATCGAAGTTGCGAGTCAGTATACAGTAGACTTGCAGTTGTAGACTTGTAGACTCAGTCAGTGGTACACCGGTGGCGCAACCACTTGGTATAGAAATAACAAATATTATTGCATGAAATTGTTTTCCATCGATTGACTTTATTTTTCAGAAACCTATGGCCGTTTGTTGTTTGGCGCCTGATTAAGCTTTGCGACGGTTACGTCTGCTTGAAAGCTTGCATCATCTGTCAGGTAGATCTATTTGCTACGCTAACTTGGCATTAATAATTAATGAGCGTTGCTGCAGACTCCCTTTAAGCTAAATAATTTCCTCCGGAAACATGCCAAAGTTGGGCATCGTATATTTCTAACGAACCTATTAAATGATATCATTATGATCCCGGTTTAGTAAAGCCTCCTCGTTAGCTATCACGAGTAATCCCATGACCACTTGGTTTCAAGCCTTATTTAGCTGAGACTTGACTGTTAGTGGGCTAATAAAATCACCAAACACGTCATGCAACTCACTTCCAAAAAGGAACAGTGACCAAGCAGTTTTACCCCCATAATTATATATAGATTAAGATTCATGTTCATTATTTTAGACACATGCAGTTTCAGCATGATAATGTATGGACATGAGGGTTTGATGAAACATAAAGTTGTGCACGTGTTATTTACATTTGGAGCAAGTGGGTGACAGGTTTCAGTCACAAGGAATTTAACATGCCAGTCGAAAGTTGAACATGCTGAACAAAATACCAAACAAGCAGACCTACTCACAAAATGTCACGATAAATTTTAGACTTAGTACGTTCTAAACACGAAATTTCAGGAGCTTTCAAGCTCGGTAAACATAGTGTTTGAGATCGAAAAAGAAGACAGGTGAAGTGCAAACACCCATGAGCGCCTTTGCTGGAAGAAAAAATGGTGACTACCAAACAAGCACGACCTACTCACAAACGATTTTCTTTAGCTTAGTACCTCCTAAACAAGAAATTTCAAAGCTCTTTATAGATCGTGTTTGAGATCGTAAATTGGAACGGGTGAGAATGTTTAGTGCAAACATCCAAACTTCAAAATCATGCGTGCATCTGCAAGTGAAGTGTTCACGCGTTCTCTACATGACACTTGCAGTATCATCTTTAAGCACGACGTTGAGCCCTAAAGTCATTTACGTTAATCGAATACATCAAGTCACATAACCCGAATGGTAAACATATGATGTTTAGAGTGTGGGATATCGATTGCAGAGATGATACACTGATGTGATGCCCTTGAGATTATCATCCGGAAATGTTTTCTTATACAAGCAAGTGTCTTATGTGTCTATCAATTATTTTATCCTCTCTGTGGACAGTGCCTTCATATTTCAATTACAGAGCAAAAATAAATCGGCAGTCTCTACTGACAAAGTGAATTATCAGGGTGTGGACGCAAGGGACGGCCTCGCCCTAGTACGAGTCGAACATGCTGGTACATTGTCCCTATTACAGTGAAACCTGTACATTAAGACCGATCAAGGGAGACAAGAAAAGTGGTCTTTACAGGCAGGTGATCTTTAGGTTCCTTCAGTACATATTTCAATGAGACACCGTTTTCAAGGAAAACAAAAAGATGTGGTCTTTATAGACAGGTGGTCGCTTAGGTAGGTTTGCCACTGTGATATCGGATGTTATACCATATGCAAAATGTTTTATCCTGTTCCTGTAAACAGTACATCAGTATTTTCTTTTTGAGGAGCACAGGTGCCATCAATCTCTGACAATTAAAATAAGAATAGATCACACATTTTCAGCCCCAAACCTCTAACCAGCAAGCGCTGAATAAAAAGTTTGTCGATTTGGGGGTAATTTTGCAAATCACGAGGGGGTGGGGGGGGGGGTCGTCCCCTGTGGAACATTAAGCTTCTGAATGCATCATTAAATTATATAGTTATGTTGTGACATTAGCAAACTTCTTACGGACATTTGTATATCGCGCTGAATAAATACAGAATATCATTTCTCTTTAAATTCAAAGTGCATCTATAAAAGCTGATTTAGTACTATTTTGGCAAATCGTAGAAATATCTATTCCAACTTTGGTGTCTTGAGTTCAGATATTGTTACATTTGATTTTACCTGGTTTCTTGCCTTCATTTTCACTGGTCACTTTGCTGTTATGATCGACTTGAATATCCTGATAGTTGATGACTTCCTGCCCCCTGTCATCATCGTCGTCTTCATCTGGTGTGTTATCTTCTTCTACATCGACAGGACCGTCTTCTGTTTCTGCAATATAAGGAAATGAATAGAAAACATTAAATGAAAAGTGTAACATTAAACAAGTTTTCGCTTCTAATAACTGTTAAGAAAGTATCATGAGAAATGCAGAAACCATTAATCGAGCCTTTCATTTCCCCCTCAACAAATGTAATTAAAAGAAAAGGAAATCATTAATTCTTCATGTGGCGAGCCAATATTTTTCTGCCAGTGCTTATATATAATTGCGGTTGATATAAAGGCAGCAACTAAGCCAATTTTGACTACTTAACTGTAATTACTTTTCAACTCGACGCAATATTGTTCTACGTAATATCTCCCTCCTCTGTCTGAAGAAAATCAGCAGATATAATTTTGTTCCTGTCTGGTTGAGGATTTTGCCCTACACACCCACGCATCTGAGGGACATATAATATATAATTGTGCCGCTCGCCATTTTCCACGAAAATGAAACGTTGAGGGGAATATACAACGCTGCCATTTTAATTCAGAAACATCAATTTAATGACCTTTATAATGCCTAAATTTTGACATTGCTGAATGATGTGGCGCCATTCTATGAAATCTAGCTGTCTACTTTACCCTGTCTGTTCGCCTTTATCGTTGACTTTAATAACGAGAATTATGGTCCTGGATTCTTAAAGTCGTGAAAATCTATCGGAAGTAGCGTAGACGTAATGATTATCGGTGATTGATTTGATTTTGAATATTGCATGAAGTTATTCCCACAATCTGTGTAAAGAAATGTAACAAAACTAGTGCTGTATTTATAGACTGTATTTCATTTTTCATCATTAATTACGAGTTGTATTTTCAGTTCCATCCTAATATTGTAGTCCATATTTTCTTTGTGTGAAATAAAAAGTTATCATTTAATTTTCCTAGCTTATTCTTTTAGCATAATATGAAAGGGGATATCATATTTAATTCTGTAAAACCCATGAAAAGGTTTTATTTAACATACCGTAAACTAAATATAACTGCCCCAAAGAAATTGCCTGCTCGAAATAAACACGTAGAAATCGATGTGAATCCAGGATTACGATTTCATTTGAAGATGTACGGCGGGTTTTTATCTGAGCTTAATCATTCCAATATTCTAAGAATAAATCGAGTGGAAAGAAATGAAGACCGGGGAACGAATGTGAAATGTTTTCCCCATTTCATTGCCTCCCTTCTCAGATTGATTTGTTGGCTTCTCACGCGGCACCGAGGTGGCTTTCAACCCCCTTAAGTTGTCACTAACGTCACCATCACGTCACCAGTTGTCATGACAACCTGTATTGATGATTGACTTAGACAAGAAATGCTGCACATTTCTTCACATTTCTACCCCATTTTTTTTCTTCGCAGACGAGTTCTATTTTTTCTAGGTCTGGAAGAATCCCAAGGGCCATTATGTCGTTTGAATACCAATATTATTTTCAGAAAGAGATAGAAAGAGAGGTTTTAAAAAATCTCTTTCGGGTACAATTTTTTAGTCTCTTTTCCTGTCAGGTTAGGTCCGGAATTGATCATTGTTTTCTTCGAGGATTTTGTTATCCTTTGTGACTTCGCTATTATTCACGAGAAAAAGCATTTTGATATTGAATATAACAGCTGCATGTCTGCCATGCACTTAGAAAGCTACAGACTCAAACCTTCCACGAACGGTTATCCTTTCCTTTCCTTCAAATTGTTCACTCTAGGCTTCCTGCCATATGGTTCTTTGAATACCTTCTGAAAATATCAGCGCTATTCGATGCAAACTTGATATCATTCATACGATCAATGGAGGAAAAAAATTGATCACTGAAGCTCGCAAAATATACACAGTGAAATGAGCACAACTCCTAACTCTGTAGTCATAGCACGTTTAATGCAATTTTAAGCACAACTGCGGTATGTATTAATGCGCTAATGCCTGATGCAAGTTCTCCAAGACCCGCTTTCACATTATCCTATTTAGCTTATAATCTGTGCAAGTGCTGACAATAAAGAAAATGGCTATACATAGACATTACAGTAGGGTGCCTGGTAGAACTTCTTTTTTGTTACTATTCATCTCAATTGCATGACTATGTTTGTAGTTTGTTCAATTAATTTCAAATACAATATGAATCCGTACTAGATTATTTTATGTATAGAAGGAATCACTCTGCAGACTAAGAGAACAATATCATCATGACCACAATATACATTGCAGATAATCTTGATGAGATGTAAAACTACTTATTCTTTAGCAGTGGTTAAATAACAATTAAATATAAGACAGCTGCCGGAATATATTTCGTTGAAAAGTGCAACGTTTATGATGAGGACACCTACGGCTCAAAATACAACTTTCGTTGGTTACGTGTCATTTTTTCCGAATCTTCATAATTCCGAAGGTTTGTATTACCAACATGATAGCAACCACTTTCAAAAAAATTAACCTATAAGGTAATTTCAGTAGCCTCATGCGTCACCCGTCGAAAATGTGCGAACACGGCAATGAGGTACACAACAACCTGAAGATGAACATGGTTTCTACATGAAGCATGATTTAGCTGGATATAATCCCCAAATATCATAAAACACTGTATCGTATTCGGAACAACGAACGCTTTTTCATTTTCAGAATTATGAATCCTATTTTACCTCCGGAAGTACTAACCTTCTGTATTATGAACCCTATTTCACCTTCTGAATTAGGAAACTTCGGATAAATGAACCTCCGGAATAACGCAACAAATTTTCGAAATTATGAACCCCCTAGTATGGGAAATTTGTGTTTCGGAATTACGAGCCTTCGCAAAAGCGTTCCACATCTTTAACCAATAAAGTAAGCCTAAAGGGTTCATAAAGCACATTTCGAGAGAAATATAGAGCTGGTCGGAAATATAATTTTGCGAGGCTGAGACCCTAAGGTGCTGTTCGAAATTAAATTAGAAGTGAGGTGACAGTGGTCACGTGGTCTCTACTTACTGCTTCCATGTTGATAATATCCTGAGGGATGTATAAGAGAGGGAAATGAACTATGCCATTACCCCAACACCTTAATAGAATTAGGTGGTGCCATTAATAGCAATTTGGAATCTATCAAGGGTTTTGTAAAGAATCGAAAACACCGGTGTCGATGCTGTGCCTAGCATTATAACATAATGTGCAATGAGCATCCGGTTTATTTTTGTCTGATGTTATCTTAAAACAACAGGATGATAACACTGGATATAGCGCACATATCCACCATGCATGGTGCTCAAGGCACTCCAACTATATATTACCCCGGCTCTGCTAGGCAGCCGATTTCGGCGCTCACAGCATTCAAGGATTAACGAAATTATAACGATTATAATGATTTCTATATATTACTATCCCTGTTATTTCCGGAACAATGCCGGGAACATGTTCGCAACGGTAGGTTTTATGACAAATCTTCCACCTCAAATCTAATGTTTTTTAGGTTAAGATTCCTTGTTGTCTGAGAAAGATTGAAATGTCTGCGCACGCGATACCACGCATTCAAGATCCACTTTCCTGTAGTTACGCTGTACGTACGTCATGCTAAAACATCAGTCGAAACCGATTGCTCGCAACATTGCTCCAGCTAAAGCAGGGATATTCATATATATCTAATTTGAAAAGAAAAATGATGTGACATGATCAAAAGGAAACGGAAGCACAGAATAATGACTTCAAAATTAAATGAAAGCGATGGTATTTCAATACAAGATTGAATGGGGTTGTTATGTCAGCAAGCTGGGTCGATGTGATGGTACTACCTTCGTGCGTCTCTACAAAATTATAACTCCAAACCCGCTTGAGGTAATGTTGACATTGGTTGATGTATGCGGCGCAAAGTAATTAGGCCAGCGTCACATTCAATTCCTTTTTGATCGGGTTATCATCGGCGAGAAGGAAAACCGATCTATATCATCCGGTTTCATATATCAATAATAAACACAATATCTGAGATTTGATCTGACATTTTGCTCCAGTGACATTACTCTAGGCTTTATTTGTCGAAGATATTATATTCGGGCTTGGGTTGAGACTGGCTTTAGGTTAGGTTTTGGGTTTAATAGCTCACGGTGTTGTGTTGAGTGCAGGATTGAAGTTAGCAATTCGACTTACGACCAAAATTGATCGCAGAGCAATTTTATTTATCTTCAATACGTAAAGTCTCGTTCAAATATGACGCGGTAAATCGCTTAAAAATAAAGTTATGTTGACGTAACTGTAACAGCTCAGTGAATACACTAGTACGCAAAAGATCTTTGTTGCGCGCAGTTGCCATTTACTTACACGTAAAAAACCGCGGTGTTTCTTTTTCTCTATTTGCCGTGGTTTAACAGTTCATATCTGAACGCGAATCAATTCATGCAATTAAATATGCTTCTTACCTTGGATTTGCTTTGGTTGTGTGTCTTCTAGTTCTCTATCTTGTGACGTCACTGCATTTTCGACCTGGTTAAAGGACAAACCATACAAGAAAAAAGAAGCCTTAGTAAATAATGTTTGACGTTTACTGCTATATATACGTGATAACTGAAATGTAAGGTTTCAATGAAGACCAACATATTCGATGTTAATCAGGGGCTTCAGGGCCCCGTCTTATAAAAAGTTGCGACTGATCCGAATCAATCGCAAGTCCTCTAATCAATCGCAAGTTTGGGATCTCCTATCTCGTATATACATAGATGTGATTGATATCAATCGCAACAGTTTATTAGACGGGGCCCAAACATGAACACTGACTTTATGTCTCTAAATGCTACTGCAAAAGCACAATTACGAATTGAATGCAAAAGAAATTGAGACACAATATTAGACATGGATTTTCAAGAATGTATAATCTTTTTGTTTCAGGTCCCGAATTTGTCATTCACATAACAATATCGGAATTGTAAGACTTGTAATGACGTCATACTTAAGCAGTCTGTACCGTGACTTGCTACCCACTAGTAGTCGATAAGCCATTTTTTACGCAGGAAAACTTCAAATACCATGAAATTTTCATATGAAAAATAATCGGTACATCAGTCGCACACAGTTTTAAAATTTACATAAATGATTTCACCATAACTTGCGCTTTCTTCAATGGATGCGGTAGCCTTTGTTCGGAAACAGTATCATTGCCAAACGACGCCTAAGAGAAAATCAATTTATGGTGAACTCTTATGGAGGGACCCCATGGAGCTCCCAATCGTAATATACAGTAATGGCAACCGAAGATGAATGCTTCGGGCATGGAATCATTTTATCAGCCATATCGATGCAGATATACCTCAAAACACAATAATACATGCCCACATACAGACTGCGGTCAAACTATTAGATTTGATATAGAAACTCATTACCCAAGGTGTTCGAGTAAATGTTCATTTAGTCTATCAAACTGATTAATATGCGAGCTGAAGGTAATTACGACACAGGATGCCGTTCACATGGTGATCACGATGATGCTTCTGCAACACGATCGAGAATTATAAAGTTCTGTTTTTTAGTAAAGGTCATCGTGTGGGCGGTTTTTATCGTCAGCAGCAACCCATTTCGATCGCCAAACAAAGATGGCCACTAAGGACGTGCGTCCACTGGTCTCCGAAGGATGCAAAAATGGTTTCAATTTACAGAGGAGATCAAACGGTTTTCAAGGATTCCTCCTAAGACCTGGCTCGATTTAGTCGACCCCTTTGAATCCGCATTTGCTTCGGTCTTTTAATTACTATCATTTAGCTACTTAAAACTTTGAAGGATATATTGATTCTCTCTAAATTTTGATGAAAAGCTGAGTTACGGATGCTTTAATGACAAGCGAAATGAGTAGCTGAGTTACGGATGTTTTAATGACAAGCGAAATATTTTGTTTTTCTCGATATCAATCGACCACTTTGATCCAAACATTGTGAAAAATAAAACGAAAAAGAAAAACAATACAAATCTGCCATATACACACCTAGATACAAACTTGTTTTCGTGTTCCTTCCCCTATTCCGCCCCTCCCACCCCGCGGCCGGTAAAATTTATGAACTTTTTAACAATAAATCTTGTCAGAAATTTTGATATTCTACGCTTCCTCTACTCCCGACAAAAATCCAGCTTCCACCATTTACCCTAAGAAAAAAAAAGGTATAATTCTGCTACAATAGCAGCACCCTCTGCCAAACACGCGTAGGTGCGTGGATGCAAATCTGCACCCCAATTGCCCTCCTATTTCTAAGTGTGTTGCATAGCAATATTTCACTTGATAAGATGGGAAATTTAAAAAAGATTGTCGTTCCTTCCCTCAATAAGGATCTTTTAGAAGCGCGCTCATTCATTCGATGTGTCCCCTCCGTTGCATCTTCCTCTCCATCTCTCTTTGACAGGCTTCAAATATATTCATCAATTCAGTGTCCTCAGGCATTGACCCTTGCCTGTATTATTCTGATGCCGTTGTTCTCCACGGTTGACTGAAATGGATCGTTCTAGGAGATAATAGTCAGATATCCGCTTCCCTCGACAGATAGACAGACAGACAGTACACTTTTCAAAGACATATTAAACAGACCTTAGATATACTACGTGAAGACTATAGATCACTTTCTTTTTATGTTTATACACTAACTTTACAAAACTGCATGAAATATGGTTCATAATTATAAGCTTTTGTCACTAGTCTTGCATAATTCATACTTTTTTTCATAGACGCATTACTTTGAAAAATGATAATGATGAAAATTATAATGATTGCACTATGAGTACAATGCTCTGACTATGATATGAATTTTACAAATTCAAATAATATACGAAGTACTACACACATCATTGTCATCATTCCCAAATTCAATACTGTCTTTAAATGGACTCAATTACATAGCTCCCCCGCAATATACGTCAGCATTTCTCTATTTACCGAATTTTAGTCGCGGTGTGTAATAGTACACTAGAAACTGTGGGTAAATTGATATCTCACGTTCTTATGATATTGTGCAGCCATCTCAGGGAAGCGAGGGAACATTTATTTGAATTTGATTATTCCTAAAGTGGCAATGGGCTCAGACGTACGATAACTGGGCAGTGATAAAATCTTGTATGATAAGATTATCAAAGGAAAAAGACTTATAGCAAAATTAAGTAAATCTGTTATGATTGTTTTTGGTTTATCTTTTTTTCCTAAAAAAAACAACATGATAATGGACTTCCAGTGCAGGCAATTATTATTTTATTGGTCACAAAGTACAGACGATTGGAGTTAAAATCGACTAATCAAGCAAACTTGCCAGAACTGTGAAGATTCCTTCATAAAATATTGATCACTATGTTCGGTCGGAAATTGCTGTATTGATGATTATTGGTAGCTTTAAAATTACCAAACCGAAATGAAAATGTGGGTCGGGTTACAAAGTGGGCAACAAAAGGCGTTACCATGGCGATAAAGTACACATCGAGTATGAGTATGGGACTCACAAAAGATTCCTAACAACGCCGGATCTACGTTGAATGAGAGGTATTAAGGGTTGATCATCATAAAACGAATCAAAAGAGAGAATATCATAGTCAGGGGCGGATCCAGGGGGCGTGTGGGCGCATGCCTCCCCTCTTTTTACATTCAGAAATACCTCAGAATGTAGCATAGAGCATATTAAGGTTCACCCTTTTCCGGGGCCCTTAAGTGGGCCCCGGACCCAACGCCGTAAAGCTTTCGCGCTCGCAATTTCCTACATTTCTCGCCCCCCCCCCCCCCCTTGGAAAATCATGGATCCGCCCCTGATAGTGATAGTAGAATGAAAACGCCACAATTGCTGATCATTAATCAGGTTAATGTCTTACGTCCAGGTTCGAATTCAGTATCAATGCAAACACCGGTACCTTGAACATTATCATACCGAGAAGATATGAACAATATGAAATATAAAAGCTCCATAGAAGCAATGGATCGCTGTATTCTAAATGCACGCTATCCCTTTTCTACGATCTTCATGGCTGGATGATCCCTATTTCTCCAGGTCTCTAAGCTTCAGAAATGGTTCATTCTACCGAATATTTCTCAGAAAAGAACACGACCGCCTGATTTACCCATCAAGGAATGCCCATAGGTGCTGTTTTTCAATCGACCATGGTCTTCACCCTCATAACCATGACAACGGGCAGACATCTTGTTTCTTGCTTGAAGGTGTGAAATAGATAGTCATCAAGTGAATTGGAGCTATAGGGAGTATGATCGGAGGAAAGACATTTTCTCAATGGCGTAGCAGAGAGATGACACGGTATTCAGGCCTTATTTTCATGACCTGTGTTACAATCACTGAAAATTAAATGTGTTTTTACCTTAGCCGTGAAAATGTGATTTATTTCTGATGATAAGAAAAGAAGCTAAAATAAATAAGTCTATTTATTCAAAAGCTTTTGAGTTTGCAGTACCCGTCATTTTAAAACTAAAATGACATAATCATCTAAACTGCTAGACTTTTTCTTACTTCTTTACGTGACATGATTGTGACGTTATGGTTTTTTCCTCATAGATAACGTTTATATCGTTTATATCTTGTGAGAGAACTTTACTCATCATGAAAAGAAGTAAGCCAACGTTATTCCAACTGTATGCATACAGAATGGACATGGACAACCGTTGATGTTTGATGTAAAAAAAAAAAATGATAGAATACACTTAACTGAAATGCCAATAAAACGTGGTATGCAACCTACTTTTTGACACTTCCTTTCCTTTAATGAAACGCTTAAATGGGAACACTATGTGTGATAAAACAGAGGATGGGTATACTACCATCGTGCTACCGACTAATTCACGCGGGAATAGTGCGGTTGGGTAAATGTCACAGTCACCCGCACCGGATCTGATATCTCCACGAGCCGCGGATAGAATATTCGAATGAGAATATATCCGATATCATCCCAAGGGGTGATCAATTTGATTTGGTTTGATTCTCCGATTTAATTCACCCCTTTGTCACTCGAGTCACATCCAATAGATGATGGCTGAGGAGGTGGCTTTCTCTCCATAAAGCCCTCCTATATAGTCCGACTGAAATAAAGAGCTTGCTTGCACGGACTGAAAGTGACTTTCAGAGTTCATGGTAATCAATGCATGCAGATGAGATGAGAACAAGGTATTCCGAGAAACAGGTAGATGGGTATTGCTCGGCAGTACGATCACCAAATGGGTCCCATATGGACAAAGAAATAGTGAACATAGATATAAACATGCAGAGAGACAGAGAGAGAGGGGGGAGGTAGATCTGTTTAGTAATTACTGAATAAAAGCTAGATTTAGTGATTGAACATTAAATGCTGCTGAAATTAGGAGCGTCTTCAAATAATATCATAGCATTGAATAGAAAATTGGGCTATTATTTTCATAATATGAGAATGAGAATGGACCATTCCCGAAATTGACTTTGCATTATTCACCAAATCCTTACTTTTGAATTAGAAATTGGTGCATTGGTTCGGGTTTAACACATGTTAACTTTTAAAAAATAGTTTAATCACATTTTTAGTTGTTTCTGACCTACAATTCAACTAAAAAATTTTTTATCGAAACCGAATTTCACGATCTTATTGGCTGTATTATATATACGACTATACCAGGAATGACGTAAACTTTTAGATGTAGGTGTTTCGAATTTCTAGTCTTTAATGGAAATTAGTAGATTAAAAGAAGTCCTCAAGGACAATCGCTCAATTTCGAGTTGTTTAGAATCTTCAGTATTGAACAGAAGTACTCATCTAGGATCTCAATAGGTCCCATATCCGACAGCCAACACTCTCAATTACTCGCTTGAGTGGTGGCTTGAAAGGTCGCAGCATTTTAAAGTTTAGCTCAGGAGGAATTGTCGCCTCGAATCACCAGCTTCCTCCCCTCTTGCTTCATCCTATTATCTATTTTCCATAATTATCTACTCCTCCTCCTCCTCCTCCTCCTCCTCCTCCTACTCATACCTTCTCCTCTTCCGCCTTCTCTTCTCTCGTACCCCCTTTCGTTTCCGCTTCACCCAATTCGTAAACTTGCGGCTGAATTTTCATTTCGACGGAGATGCAAAATAGTGACAAACAACAAACTAATGTCCCGCGGCACGTCATGGAAATTGATGTGGCCATCACTCACTTGCTAACGGTCGCCGAGTTAGTCATTAAACACATTGATATACAAAGTGAAGTCAATAAGTTTAAAGCGTGGCTAAATATAGCTACCACTGAAGGCTTGTTTATAAATATAATTTGGTTATTTGAATGGCAGGGACAAAATGCCCGTCGTCACCAAATTGAAATATTGACTTCTGCTGCAGTCCTTTAGGAGCTTTTAAGCGTAATTGCTACTTTTTCTAACGGTGAACAGTCATTATTTATTTCGGACATAATTCTCATGGCTTCTTACAAATCACTTCTCTATAAATAATCTTGTAGAAAGTGGGTCTTTGGATAACCTTTGTCTTACTTCATGTACCTGTTGAATATATTTTTTTCTCTCTGTTGTTTAGGGTTACATCGCCAAAAGAAGAGGTAACATCACTTCTGTATTTTCCTATACCATTGGTGCTAGAATGAATACATCAATAAAACTTGTTTTATTCATCATGACAGCATATTCATCAACGTCAGTAAAATTGAGAATTAAAAAAAAAATGTCCATTAACGTGAACGATAATGCAGGTGATTATTCGACAAAGTGAATGCTTCAAATTTAAAAGAAACCCATTACCATTATCTCTACTGACGTCATGAAATTTGCTTTAACGATATATTTTATATGATGAACAATATTCAGTAGCGTAATTGAACGAGCCCAAGACGTTGATGTTTTTAATGCTCGAATTTCCATTAAAATTTCTCTCTTCTTTGTTTCTTGAGTAGATTAAACTAATCCAAGGCGAATTTACTTTGTTCGAGTGAATTGTTATTGAATTTGTCAAGAGCTTCGACCTTTATTGACATAAACGTCACGTGGGTATCTACAAGGCGTCATGAATGCATGCATAAGGGCCTCACATTACATCAAAGGTGCTAAAACTTTCATAATCTATTATTTTATAACAAGAAAGATAATGGGCTGGATTTACGATCATGAAAACCATTGTGTCGTAGTGTTTATGATTGGTTGGTGAGATACATTCTTGCTTTTAGAATCTCCTCTTGCCCAATTCGCCCATGTACACGGCAGTGGCGTCACTCCAGCATTTGCCTTATCCGCTGTATTACGACAAACAATACTCGGGTACAGGCAAAGAAAATAAAGCAATGCAATGATGGGTGTCTAGAAAGCCAAACCATCTCTAATTCCCCTCTAAGCCTAAGAATATTTTGGGAAATGTCTTCAAATGTCAAAATATTATAGGGGAAAATGCCCCTCCCCTTGACATCTAATGATCAGGTGATGGCGTACATCAGATGACATCAATTCACCTTTTCCATAATATTATAGGAGACGTCACTGCATGGAAAAAATAATAAGCAGTGCTCAGCAGAATCAATAGAATATTTCTGAGCAATTCTTTGACCCGTTTAATAAACGCTGTCGCTGGCATGCATGCCCTAGAGGAGAGCTCGTTGCTATGGCAACCCTTCCATGAGTTTATTGTGCAGGAGAGAATAAAGATGAACAGAGAGAGATAACCAGATGCTTGAAGCAGACACCAAACATGCGGTGTAGCTTCTAGAGTTGTATAAACATCACCCTGTCACTAATTAACAAGAAGCGTACGATGAGATGAAATGGATTGAAAGAGGAAAAACAGAACTACTGTCAGGAACGAACTTTAGCAGGGAAACATCAGGAACGAACTTTAGCAGGGAAACATCTTGTCATAACAAGTATTAGGCGTAGAGAATTCCAAAACTAATTGGTAATCAGGGACTAATTACACTAGGTATAATCATCTGATCTTGATGGTAAATTGTGCATACTTTGAGGAAAATTAATGTCAGAAACAGACGTATAAAGTAGTTACGTGTGCATCACTACGTATTTCAAATTGCGTGGAGTTTATTCAAGGGCTTGTCAACAAGGAGAAATAATAATTGTGCAAATGAACTATAGTGTCATTTCCCATTACAGCTTAAACAATTTGACCGGAACGAAAATCAGTGAGAAAAAAATAATTAAGAATAACTCTTCCATGACTCTTTCCAATTCACAAGCAGCCAGGCATATAGGTAGCTATCAGATGGAGAACATATTGATGTAAAAAAATAGATTTAAAAAATCTTCAAAATGATGATTCAAGAAAATGTATATCAAGATGTGTTGAATATAATTATTTACTATTAATTGGGTTAGACAGGAAGAATATATATTGGGGGGTACAAAATACAGGAAAGCAACTCAATCCTCACAATGTTCATAAAATAGTTTCATTAAATTATGACTCAAGTATGGACCAAAACAAAATCAATGCTTTTAATGTTCTTCTCTACGAATTCTGTCATGTTCGACGTTCGAAAAAGCCCTATTTACGTCCCGAGACAACAGCATACTCTGTAGAATAACAACATGGTGCCTGTTGGGTTGACTCGTACTATGCCAAACAAGGGTTCGTTAGGCTGTTTCAGTGCAGGTGTAACTTGTTTGCCTCCCGGTCATATTCGATTTTGTACTCGGTTCCCTTCCGTTTACTATGGGAATCTACCCGAGACGACAATAAAAACCCGTCAGGAGCATCCTCCTCCTCTTTATAAGTTATTTACTCCGATTTCCTGTAACGATGAATCTACGCGAGCGTGTGAGTTTACGTGCACGGTTGCATGTCGTCAGCAAGAGGAAAGGAGGGAGGGGTTCAGGATTCTCTAGTCCTTGTTGACAGTAGTCAGAAGATTTATGTTCCTTGAAATGAGGGCAATAAATCTCGATCAGTCCGCATGCGTTTGGTAGACGAAGGGTCTACCGCTTTTAGTTGATTTTTTTGTGGGTCTACTAAAAATACTACTTTGCTACGGTTGGTTACATTGCTTCCCGATCAGTTTTCATTGCTGATTACCGATCATCCATCATTCTTCTTTCGATCACGATGTCTCGATTACGCTTTGATCGGTCCACTTGAATGTTCTTGTTTGTTTTGCATTTCAAGAATACAACCATAATTATTTCCCTTGAGAAGTGAAAAAGATATTCTTTATACGGTTGAGAGAAGTCTCGTTTTGACAGATTCTAAAATCATGATATGCCTAAAGCATGCATACGTTGAGACAAAAACGAATGGTTTTACACCTAAACTGGTCCTACGTATTAAAGGACGGATCATATTTATTAGGATCATATTTAACATTTGATTGATTATCATAAGAATATACTTCAAAACCAATGTCCCCTTATAATACCTCTGAAAAAACATTTCTAATTCTTTTCAGCACAGCTCAAGAAGCAGCACAGCTTTTCTACAGATCAGAGGTTACAGGAATTATTAATATTTTGACAACGGCAGGATAAGGAAAAAAACTTACAACGACGTCCTTTGCTATAGCTGAATTATAATTGGAAAAATAATGAAATCAGACGCGACATTAGTGAGCAAGTTACATTACTCCTGCCAATTATTGAATTTAATTAGATTCCATACAAATCTATCATTTCATCCGATAAAATTGAACGTGAAATGAGAGAGAGTGAAAAAAAACTCACCTTTTGTAATTTTGTTTCTTCATTTAGTCTGTCTTCTGTATAGATCGAGAAAGAAAAGAAAGGGTTAAACAGTTATTTTCTTCATAAATTATAACAAACTTTTGATAAATACGTTACTAGTTATGAATTTAAATGCATATTGGTAATCATCATGTAATACAGTAATCATGAACATTATGTAAAATCAAACTTTGATACGTCTATATAAGGTGGTAAAAAAACGTGTTGAAGGAACATGTAGAATGGCATGATAAGAAGTATAATACATAATACATAATAGAGAGGTAGAGAGAAAGAGAACAAAAGAGAGAGAGAGAGAGAGAGAGAGAAAAATATAGAAAAAGGAGTGGATATACGTATAGACACGAACGGAAAAGAAAGAAGGAGAAACAGAGAGAAATGGGGAAAGCAACAGAGACAGAAACAGAGACAAAAAAGGAGGACAGAAAGATAACAAGAGAAAGACATAAAAAGCAGAGAGAGAAAGAGATATAGAGATAATTGGCCAGAATTTAAAACGTCATCCTTGACCCATCCAGCTAATATACTGAGCGTATGGGAAACAAATTATGCATTATCGAACCAACACGTGATAAAACAGGACGCCATTTATCAAATCTAAACAATCGCTTCTCTGATTGGAAGTACATGCAGTGATAATTTACCAGTTGTACCTCATAATAAATACGTGAGCATTTGCTGAGTTTGAACAGATAGAAGGGGTTTGGTGTTTTACCCCGCTGTATTCTCGTCTCAGGGATGTGTTGACATAGCCGGTTCTGTAGTTTGTTCAAGCAGTACAGACGTTGCGTAACATAATGATGAAAAATATTTACTTATTGGTCAAGCCCACACATTTTTGTATAGAGCCTCATCACTCTTATTACAGCTCAGGAGAATATGCACCTCAGTCATTGCATAATAATTGTTTCTCTTTTACAATTTCGCCAAGAGAGAAATAGATAATGAGACAGAAAGAATGTGTGTGTGTGTGTGTGTTCGAGAGAGAGAGCGAGAGAGAGAGGGAGAGAGAGAGAAAAGAAATAGAGAGAAAGATAGCAAAAAGAGAGAGAGAGGGGAAAGAGAGAGAGAGAGGGGTCTTAAATACTTGGTCATACAAATACACTTAATCTTATGAAGATGTGAACGTGTTGTCTGTCTGTCTGTGCGGCTGCTTATCATGGTTTTATTGCACTGCAATGCATAATGATGGAGCAGTAACAGAAAATTGGAAATTCAGATTTATTAAAGATGTTCTGTTATTATCTGGCAAACTAACCTGGGTATATTTTCCAAACTTGGACAAATTTGCATAGTTTGGGTGACAAAATATTATTTTTATCACGCAAAATGTAGAACTTTATACCAGTTCATTCTATCGTCACTTAAACGTCGCATAGAACTTTATTGCTAGTTACTACAGAACAACAGGATAATGCACCATGATTTATTCATCTTTTCAAACATTCAGGAGAGAGGGGAGGTAGAATGAGAGAGAGAGAAAGACAGAGGGAAGGAGAGAGGGAGAGAGAGAGAGAGAAAGAGAGAGGTAGAATAGAGGAGAGAGAAGGAGAGAGAGAGAGACAGAGAGAAGAGAGAAAGGAAGAGAGAGAGAGAGAGAGATAAGAGGATAATTAGTTTTCTAGAATATATATGATGTTAGCTATTATATTCTAATCTAATGAAGATGTGATGTTGGTGACAAAACCTTATAAATATATTTTACATAAAGTGAGGAACACACTATACCCATTTCTCACACCAAGGAAACTAAGGAATTCATTGATAATACACAATGATAAAGTGACATGACTACACTGCTGTATTACCTGCAGAACGATCAACCTGAATGTGTACACAGGTGTTACCAAACTTTGATTACGTGACAGATACCTTGCCATATACGGACATTAAAGAGGTTTCTATGACGTGTAGATGTAGATCATATCAAAGTAGTCCTGATCATTGGGGGACTCGTCATCTTCCTATTCTGAAAATCTGGCGCTATTTCTTAGACATACAAGACTCATGAGACTCTTACATGCGGATAGTAATGTCCGATGCTAGACTATAATATTCCCCCAAAACGAAATATGACGAAGCATCATTATCCCCTTCCTCCACATCATTGTACCACTGGTTATTAGAATGAGTCGATTGTAAACTCATGATAACAATGAATAAGTAATGTCCGATGTCACGATGCCTTAGTTTCCCTCATCATTCTACCGCCCCCAGAGCATGACCAACTCCTAATAAAAACCGACCCCTTGACAGGAACCCGTGACTCTCTAACTTATTCATGAACCCCTTTGCTGACGCTCTCAGATTTCTCGCACGTTCAGTATCCTCTCCTCCAGATCCCTGGCCGTAATGGCAGTGATCATTCCTCCGCGTGAGTGTGAATTCGCACGTTTTCAGAAGCTGCCGTATTTATTGTGTGAGGCTAATTTTGCAGTCAATCATCGAAAATTGCGACATGTCACTGCGGAGGTGTTACGAACCTGGATTGTCATGGCTGAGATTTCTGCGGTGAAGAAAACCACAATTTTGTTTACAGTGAGGCCAGTGGTAGAAGGGGTGTTTTTGCATTTTTAGTTTTTGTGGTGTGAGGAAGATAAAACCTAGACTATAGCTTGATTCACGAAATTTACATGAGAACAAAAGGCCCTAGCACAGATGGCAAAGTCACTAATTTACAATTCACCTGAAAAAAAAATCCCGCTCATTTGAAATATGCCAGTGGTATGATTTTCTGTGGTAGTCAATACCTCGTGTATTGAGAAAATAAACCGATCTTAATCAGCATCAAATTGTTTATGGCCTTGACATAAACTCATGCTTCATTACATTCAGAATTTTCAACAATTTCAGAACCGTTTTATCTTTGAGCATGCAATCTTTCAGTGATCTCCCCCGTTATATCCGAGTCACACGGCACCAGACCGATGCCAGACTGACAACAGGCCCTCAACAAACCGACAACAGGCCGACAACAGACCGACACCAAACAGACATCAGACCGACAACAGACCGACATTAGAACAACCGACCGACGTCAAATCGAGACCAGACCGATATCTAACCAACTACAGACCTACAGCAGATCGACATTAGAACAACAGACATATCGGACCGACATCAGAAGGAAACTAGAGTGACATCAGACCTACAACAGACCGACAACAGGCAGACATTAGACCGACAACAGACTGATAACAGACCAAAACAAATTACTTTACCCCTTATTGCAAAACATAAGTCGGTTTAGAGTCGGTTTGGAGTCGTCTTGGCGGTGTGAATGAGGTGTTAATATATCCAAGCTCGGGATATGGTGTACAAGTTGCTAGATGGCCTCATATGGTATGGTGATAATTAAGAACAACAGGTTGACAAGATAACAAAGATTTGTGCTGTAATTACATTGATTATATTTCAGCCTACAAAGAATACTTGTTTCGCAAGGCTAACTAGTCAATCAATATAATATAGTAATTCATAAGATTTAGAAGGCGTCAAATTCAAGGCGCAGTTGTGCAAAAGAAGGGACTAAAATAGAACATACAGAAAGGAAAGGCCTCAATCATATTCTAAATCAAACAGATGATTTTGAAAAACGAATACCAACAAAAAATGCTCACAGTTTCTCCAACCCTCATTTCCGCCTCCATTTCCAATCTCATTCTCTTCTCATCTTATGTTATGCATCACTGCATGAAATTTCAGCGCTGTCCTTAGCTGCAGCTGTCTGTTGCGGTGCTCTGATCCTTTTTTGTATTTTGTCTTATATCCTACTAATTTCTTCGTGCTTTTTATCTTATGAAAAGGAGCTTTATAAATGAAATGTTATACATTACGCATGACTGTTATCATTATGCTGTCATATTGTAGGGAATCGCTCTAAGCTCATATCATGTTTATTACAACTGACATTAAGAAATCTTAGATAAAGGCCGATATGGGATAATAAATTCAAGTTGAATCCTGACACTTAAATATTAAATTATATTTTTTTTTAAATACCAATACCTATAAATCCTTTTCCCTAATCTATCTCTTTCATATTCGCTGCAGTATGCTTCTGGGTTAAAAAATAATAATATTTGGTAAGCTGTGCACTCTCTCTATTTTATGCTTGTACCTTCGTTAAATGTATAATAATGTTCATTCTATTGCAGCAGTCCTCTGTCTGAACATATTATATTGAACATGTTTCCGGATGCTCTCGCATTCGTGTCCACGAAAAAAAGCTAGAATGTTCGACCATGAGATGCCTACCGCGATTGAATGCAATATATATGATACAGTAATAAAGCTTTTATGATTTCCTATTCTACTGAGAGAGAAAGTCACTTTGACATTAGAGCTAATGCTGGCCTTGGTTCTTGACGTGCATTATCTTTATAGTGGTTTGCACATATAATGTTGCTGCGCCATGATTGTGGAAGAGCTTTCCTAGTATTATCAACTCGACACCGCTCATCCGTATGTGGTACCCCACCCCTCCTCTTCCCATCTCTGCCATGTTCCTTTCCCTGTGTATCTCGTAACACTCTCACTATCACGCACCCACATCCTCTCCTCTTAATGCTCCCACATGCCCCCCCCCCCCCCCATCTCTCTCTCTCTCTTTCTCTCTCCTTTTCTTTCTCTTTCTCTTTCTCCCTCTCTATCTCTGTACGTCCGTATGTCTGCCTCTCTACATTACTCTGTTTATATCTCACTCTCCATGTGTATCTCAAGCTCGGACATCTATTTATTCTATACCTCTTAAAACAAAAATATATACAAACATTATTTTGTCATAATGTACATTGTTAAACTAGCAAAATGTGACGCTTTTCAAGTCAAGTTTGTCTAAAACCTCTCAACTGATTTCGGAAAATAGATAAGACTGTACATTTATCCTTTCGAGAAGGCAAACCAAAACCTATTTATTCGTTGTTTTTTTTCATTCTATTTATTAATGTTTTATTTTTTTCATCTCTAGACCTATTGATATCTCAACCTCTATCTCCCCCTCCCCCTCTCTCTC